ACATGCCCAAATGGCATTTCCTGGAATTGGATTTATTAAAGAAAGCCATGGCAACCTATGGCATATCAGTATCTCAATTTAAAAAGTGCTATTCAGCTGCAAGGACTTTTTAAAATAAATGCAGTCAGCTTGTCGAAATTAAAGCAAGTGTTATATTGCCGTGAGGCCGTCAGCTTAAGCTTCTTACATAATTTAAACCAAAAAAAGTAAGTAAAAATTGTGAAATTTAAATAAATCTGGGCTGGTGAAGAGGATTTTCAGTTAATTGGCCGCGATTCAATTTGGCAGGACTCATTACTTTTATTTTATTAAAATGAGGCAAGTGTTTCCGTACGCTTTCGGGCCAATGGAGCGCATGTGAATCAAATTTGTGACTCACGCACACGACAGCCTCGGCTCTTTAAACACGGCCAACGTGTGGTATGAGTAATGAGTTCCAAGCGCAGCGCGACAGGGCAAGGAAATAAATGAGCAACTGTTTGCTCGCTCCGGTTGAAAGGTTGAAAGGGAGTGGCTCTGAATGCTACGGCCCGGCTAAGTGGCGAAGGAAATCCCAGTGGCAGGCCCTCAAGTGACCTAGAATTTTTCATGAACATTTAAATTTATTTTCCTGATGTGTACTTAAACTGGCAAAATTTTCAAATTGGAAAATACAAATCATTTATTATTGCACATTTTGTATTTCTTCGTCTTTAGCGGAGAATTGGAAAATTTTATGAAAACAAATAAGGCAACTCTGTTTGCACTGTAAGAAAACCTTTTAAACAGAAATACAATAAAACGTATATTTTCAAAAAATTAAAAAAAAATTATTTCTCATATATTTTTGCACGTATGTATTTCTTTAACTTTAACACAGAACAAAAAATTATTTAAAAACAAATAAGGGAACACTGTAAACACTGTAAGAAAACCTTTTAACTAGAAAAACAATGAAATGTATATGTTATGAATCATAATTTTAATAAATGTAATTGTCATTTATTTTTGCATATATGAATTTCTTTGAGAAGAATTTCACAGTTTAATGAAAAGTAACTATAATAAGGGAACAGCTATACACTGTAAGAAAACGTATTTACCATTAATACAATTATAATTATATTCATAAATACTTATACGTTTTTCGTACTCACATTTTTTGTACAGACTTTGCACAACTATAAGTAGGTATGTACCGCTTTAAAAATGTATGAAGTGTGCATATTTTAAATTATATAAAGTTTGTTTTAATTGCAACCAAACTACTGTAGTGAGAACTTTTTTTCCGGACATGTTTTACATTTTTACTGTGTACAGACCTTTTTTAGTAAAAAGTGAATGGGTTGATGGTGCGACCAAATATTTGTGCAAATTTCATATTAAATGCCATTTTAAATGTATGAGCAGAAGAAAAAGTCTGGTAAGTTTACTTTTTTAACCTCGGAAACAAATAAGTTGTTTACTTTAATAATGTAACATGTTGTTTTTTTTACCAAACAATTTCTAAAAATAATTATAATATTTGATTCACCATTTACTTTTCTTGAATTTAAACAGGAACTTGAATGCATGATTTTAATTGTAAAGATTTAACAATGTTAATAGTACTCAGGTAATAAAAGGAGTGCTTTTTGACCACATGCTGGCCCTTCCTCCGAGGGCAGACTGTACTTTTAGCCACTCAATTCCGTTTTGTGTCCATGTCCAGCCAGGTTCGTTAGATTGCCAACTTAATTTCCTGCATGGACTGCAATACCACTCAACGGGCCAGGTAAAATGAACAATTGCAGGGCGAAAATGAAATGAAATTTCATTCTGTGAAATCATTAAATTTGCAAGCAAATGGAATGTGCCAGAAAGCCGACTTCTCTGGGGCTAATAAGTTACTTAGTGCTACGGGCACTGGCAGCACATCTTCGTCACAATATGCACTGGAAAGTGGAGAGCTTTTTTCGAGGCCACAGGAAGTCAAAGTGCGAGTCCTCGGGAGCGAAAGTTAATGGCCGACACGTAGTTGGGAACTCACACTCTGGCAGCCAGGACGACCGGCCAGAAAGGATCCTCCGTGCCGTCCTTTAATACGCTTCTCTATTTGGCGTCGCCTTTTTACATATTTAATGAAATTATTTTCAACAATTTATAATTGCCACGAGCAGTCAGTTTGGCCGGGATACTCGGCACCTCGTATCCTTAGGTCCTGCCACGCCACCTATCCCACCATCCCACTCCCCCCCATCAATGTCCTTGACTGTGTTTTAGTTAAATGCGCCCCGGGGAGCGTTTTGCCGGCAAACAAATTATTATAAAGATATACACGAAAATATGTATATTTTTATATGTACGTCGGTTGGTAGGGGGCAGTATCTCGATGTGGTAGCGCTACCTGCATCCTGGAATAGGGATCCCGTGTCCCCCGGCGCCAGTTAAGCGGCCCCCCCTTAGCAAGCGATTTACCTGCCGCCCCTGAACGATTAACAATCTAAATAATAAGGGTCTGTATGTAATCAGACAATGTGAGCCAGAACTTTTACCATATAACGAAATTCTTAAAGCACATCTAATTAGCCAACATCTTATTCACATTTTTCGGAACTGAATAAATTAAGCTTTTTACGGAATTTAATCTTATGCATACCAAATGTTGTAATTCTTAAAGTGTTGCTGGAAAATCGGAGTAACGACATCATTTGTTATATATTTTTTTGTGAATTTAAAATGCAAACTTTAAATGCATTTAGCTCTAGATTAAATATGCATAACTCTAAGATATACATTTAATAACCATAAAGCAACATGCAATGTGAAAATTCAGACTCAACAACTTACATAAACCATGCAATATTCAAAACCCAATTAAAATATAAAACTTGTTGAGTTTTAAAATAATTTTAGACTAATGTAAATGTAATATTAATAAAATTTACAAATGACCACGTCATTGATACTGCTAACTAAACGATATCGTCCCAGTGGGTACTTATAATTCCCAATTGGTTCTAGCTAAAAAGTAATGACCTAGGTGCTGTGGCAACCGATAAGTATGTTAACAGAAATTTATTTCGGCATAACTTACTTCCAATTTTAATGTGTTTGCGCTTTTGGATATGTTGGGATGCTATCATCCTGGTTCTGGATTACAGGATAGAGCTGGAGAGTTGGCATAGAGCTGGAGAGTTAGCTGGAGTTGGCAAGCGAACAAGTGAATTAATATGTAAGTACATAAAAAAGTTTGTATGTTTTGGTAAACACAGCAAATAGAGCTCGAGAACAATCCATGGTGGGACCATCGATTGTTTTTCTAAAACAATCGAAAACCATCGATGGTCCCACCATCGATTGTTCTCGAGCTCTATTTGCTGTGTTTACCAAAACATACAAACTTTTTTATGTACTTCCATATTAATTCACTTGTTCGCTTGCCAACTCCCGCTAAAAAAGTGATGGGAAAAGCATAAAGTGATGGGCAAAAAAAAAAGGAAAACCGTCGACTTTCACGAAATTTTGAGACAATCGATACTATCGATGTTTCCATCGATTGTTCTCCAGCTCTATTACGGGATGCAATATATGGGTAATTAAAAATAAAATTAAATATTTTTTATTACGCCTCTGGTAAGTAAGTATTTTATAACAGATGACCTTGTCATATACCTAATATTATTTTAACTGGAAGGGTGTATAAAGTTCGACTTGCGAGTGTCTTCGTAAAACAAATCTTAAAATGCTACAAATTATTTCATGAGCAATATCTGTTGGTTCTTACTCATAAGCCAGGCCCTTTCCATATAATATTGGTAATGCATGTGCATATAAATATTTATATCTATAAATAAATCATAAATTTCGTTTTGAGCTGGGAACCTTCTGTCTTTTTGTTTGGCACGTAATTCAGCAATTTGGTGAGTGGCTGAAAAAAGGCTTTTGAATTTTTAATTGGAAAGGCAACCGTGCGTGCCCCGAACCCTCCTTCCCTCGGGCAAGTGTTGTAATAATAACAATTTGGTATCTCCGCCTAAATCCCTTTTATTGGGCTTGTCTGCTGCTTATCATTTGACAGCCTCCGGCTGCGTAGAGAACCCTTATCAAAAGTGCGAGACGTCACATTATATTGAGCCAAAATCAGTTTACAACGTGTGTGCAAGGCGAGGGGAAATAGTGGGGGGCGTGATGGGAATGCCAGAGAAAACACGGATGGGAAATCTATTTCGTATTTACCCATTTTCCTTGTCACACCCAACTAAGGAGGGAAAATGGTGGGGGGTACCTCTGCAGGCTTATTGCACAGAACAATGCCATCAATCATACTTGGCTAATAATGTGAATATCTGCGACCTCTGACCGGTACTTCACCTCCTTCAAACCCGCAATCCAATGCTTAAATGTCAACTAATGGAAATAATTGGCGCGGCATGTGCCTTCAATGACATTCATTAAAATGCTTAACTCCTTAAGGTCGAGTTTGGATTTGATTTTAATTGGAAATTGTTTTCAGAGACCGGACAGGGATTCATTCGTGGACACTTTGTGCGATTTCATTAACCCGAAATTTATAATAATATGCGGCCCTACTTGATAATTAAGCGACCTAAAATTTACAGAAGTGTAACTTTTGATTGGATGGATGGGGGAATGAAAAAGTTGACGAGTATCCCTAAAATGGGCTTGCATACAGGCCATGAATATTCATGTTATCTGCTCTTTCTCTTTCGGTGTTTCCAAATTTTAAATTGTAGACTGCCATAAAATTACTAATATATTATTTTTGTATGTTTAAAAAAAAACCCCATAGAGTCTGGAAACTTAATGAATATTTCTATAGTTAATATAGTGAGGTAATGAAACTATAGTATATTTATTGGTTATAAAATTGTTGTAAGTTAAATCGTCAAAGCTTTAAATCGGAATAGTTTTGGATTATATTATTCATATTGTTTCTGTTGTTGGTCTATTAATCAATAAAGCACCCTCCTAAAAAAAATATTTTAAAAACAATTTAGAAGTTTATTTGTATAAATATGGTAGGTTATGGTATATAAAACCTTTCTCGAAGTACAAAGTAATATTTTTGAGCAAAAAAAAAAGGTATATGGGCTATATAAAGATACTTTGGGAATACCTAGGAGAAGCAGTGGCAGGTCTCCTTCTTGCACTGGCCTATCCAGTGACCTTGGCGCTTGCAGTAGCTGTGGCACTGGGGGTGGTGTGGGTGGTACCGCGACCTCTGTTCGCAGAGGGCGGGATCCTCCTGGAGGTGACGGACCTTGATGGAAACGATGCCCAATGGCTTGTCGGTGGCATCCTCCTCTCCGAAATCGGTGTCCAGATCGTTGGCATCGGGACCGGGAACATCCACCTCGACGGGATTCCCTTGACCTTGGCCCAGCAGCAGGGTGGTGGTTAGGATCAGGCAGAGCAGTACGACGGAATTCATTGTGATCATCTTGCTGGCAAACAAACAACTGAGCATGCAGCTCGCAATCAGAGGCCCTTCCTTTCCCAAGACCCAGTCCGATTTCGATTGGAATGCCCACTTCCTATGCTGTCTTATCGGTTTCAGTCTCAGTTTCAGTTCCAGTCCAAGGTCACAGAGCTCTCAGCTCTCCTCCGTTCTAATCGCTGAAACTGGAACCACTTCCCGACTCTCTGTTTATTTGCGATTGCGTCCCAGTTTCGGCTCAAGTTATAGATTGGGTCTGTTTTTCTGCGCCTTAACCCTAGAAGATTGTTGTCATTACTTTCAAGTATTATTCCGTAATTAAAACAATATAATTTTTCATATTTCTGAAGCTGAGCTGAGCAAGTCATAAAATACTACATAGTCACCAGTTCCTTTAAGCAGGCTAATAAATTATAGGACTCCGATTGCAAAAAGATGTGCATCGACTAAAAGATACCCCATATTACTATATTTTTTACAAATCTACGTAAATGTTTTCAATATTAAAGTCAAGAAATATGTAAAAATGTCAAAAAAATAGAGAATTTAAATGTTAGCAAGTATTGTAATATGTAAATATGTCAAAAAAAATGGAGAATTTAAATGTTAGCAAAGTATTGAACGCTATTTAAAGTACTTTTTCTTTTTTCCTATATAACAGGAGATTTTCACATAATTGTAAACACATATTTTTCGCCCAAATCTTATGTGAACTGACTCAAACTTCGTTGCTTTCCTGCGTTTTTGTACACAAAATTACAAATGTTGAGCGAACAATTTATGCGGAAATTTGATTTTTATGTTCGCGGAGCTGTTCGCCCTTTCTCCTTTCACCCTGCAGCTGCCATTTGGTTGGCACACTTTCTCCAGAAGTTGGTAAAATTGATGGGCAACGGACAAGCAGTTAAAACAACATAAAAATACCATTTCTTGGGTAATTTTTGGTGCACCCCCAAGCATACATGCGGAGTCTTGCGAGTCTCATTTGTTTTAAAATGCAAAAACCATAAAAACAATCATGATAATAATACACAATAATAATAATAATAATTACAGAGCTCAAATGTAATACACAGGGAACAGCTGCCAAGAAGTAGACCCCTTCGCATTTCCCCCTTTTCGACGGTCTTTTAGCCGACACCCTTTGGAAAAGTCAATAAAAACGAAAAAGGATGTTAACATCCGAAATACGGTGTTTATATACCCTGGCAGTTGTAAATGAAATGATGCTATATGCTATAGGTTAAATTTTACCAATCTTAGTCCGTAGAATTCTTTAAATGTATATTATAGGAGTCACATGAACTGCAAGGCTATATTTATATATAATAAAACACTTGCTAACTTTTGAAGAATCAACATAGAGTTAAAAATCGTAAAGCTACAGCATTCAAGTTTTTACCACATGTTCTTACTGCCGTATGCCTCAAGTAATATCTGTTATCTGTTATTTATATAATTTATTTTCTCATAAAAAATGCGTATTTCAACCGATAATTATTTAACATGCACAAGTGAATGAGGAATCGAGCAGCTAATTTCCGAAACGGCATAAATCGCATAAAGTCCACTAGACTGAATAACAAAGTATGGGAAACTTTCTCTAAACGCTTAAATTTCATTGCTGCAAATGAAGCGCAATAAGTGGAGCAACAACAAAAGAAGAAAGCAGCCAAGTGGGTGGGTTTCTTCCTTTTTTGTCTTTGTTATTTTTTTCTCGTTTTTTTGCTGGCTGGCTATGAGGTTTAAGCGAATCGAAGAAAACAGGTGGAAAAATACGGTAGGGAAACAATTTCTGTTGTGCTTAACTTGTTGATGGCCGGGAGAAACATTTTGTCAGTGGCAAAAGTTTCATTTCTTTCCTTATTTTTCCTTTTAATTAAAAAAGTTTCCGCCTCCTTGCCGCTCTTCATATTGTTGTGGTTGCCTTGTGCTTAGATACCTAAGTTCTTCGATGGAATCAAATTCCCATATGGACCTTTGTGATTGTCATGTGAGATGGTTTCCCACAGCGGGATTTCAATCAGACCTAATGTGATCAATGTGACGTCATCTTTCCCTTGAAATGATCAGAAGCGTACATAAAATGTATTTATTTTCCTAAAGAAAGAATACAATGTACTCCAGTTCGGTTAAAATAAGTTACTGTTTGATTTTGTGCCGATGTTCCATTATAAAAAAAAATTATAAATATTTTCTCAATGTATTCAATGTATTCCGGTTAATCATATTCAAATACTGAGTTCAATTTTGGCAGTCGATACGAACGGTTGTGCCATTCTTGTGTTCTCTTAAGTAATAAACCTAAAAACTTCCGAATCGAATCACCCCCCGCGACCCCGCGCCTACCTATTGATTTCTTATCAGCAATTCAAATCAGCAACTACTCTCTTCGTCGCCAAAACCGTCGCGAAGTCAACTGAAGTCGAAAAAATGCCCACATCAATCTCGAACTGGTACAGTCATGCACCAACAACTTAAGTTGCATCAACTGCACGGACTACAAGGAAATGCAAGCAACCGCGAAGCTTGGACCATTTATAAGACAAGACACCAACACGACGGATCCCTCTACTCTACAGTGGCTAGTGTGGGGGCCAATCGTAAATGAAAGTAGAAACTTTTGAAAGAAATCAAAGTAAAGTCATTTTGCATGTAAATTCGCATATGCCTAACACCTAAACGCAGGGTATAGCAGAGTGCAGCGAGTATCGTCTAGCTGGCCCGCTTTCACGTATAGTCTGTCAGCATAACAGCCTCTCTTTCTCGCGCGCACCGAAAACGTGTGAAGGCAGAAAGGAGAACAGAATCTGGAAAGATCCCGTTAGGTGCAACGCTGCAGCGTACAGCCAACTTCTCGCGTCAAAAGTTCTTGTTCACTTCGTTTAAAACTTTGAATGAAAACGGACGCAAGGCTGCTGCAGTAGTTAGAATACAAACGGAAAATTACAGCCCACGCGGTTCGGTTTCCGTCTAGATGTGTGTACACCGGCCAAGTCTACGCTAACAGGAGGATCATTTATATTTTTGCACCCAACTACTGGTAAATATGAATACACAAATTTTACCGCATAGGCAGGTTATTAAGTGGCGTGTATTTTCATGTATTTTTTTTTTGTAATAGGAAAAGAAAAAAGGTTCTGTCGGCAACATCAGCGCCAGCGCGACGTGATCGCGCCGTTTTTAATTCCGCAACCGGTCGGCCAAGACGAGACTTTTTCTGGGTGTCAGTTCAAGCCAACCTGCCACGGCAGGGTTGCCACCTGCGGACACGTGTCGCGCTAGGTGCCGCCCTGCGAACGGCGTAAATCTCTGGCCCGGCATCCCACCAACCGTATGCCACGTGCGGCCTTGTATCGAAGGAAGTCTACATGGACGACCACGGTGGTTAGTGCATAACCTCACCAACACGCGCCACGCGCGGCATTCACCGCCCCAGCTCTGGCTAAGCCATAGAGCGACATTTTGAAGGGTTATGGTACTAATTCGCCAGCCATTTTTTTTGGACCACTGATCGTAAATGGTCGCACTTGAATAAGGAAGTGAACGGATACAGGATGTGACTTTTGCTACCACACCCACATCGTCTTACCAACACGCGCCACGCGCGGCAACGGAATTCTCAGCTCTGGCTAGTCCAGTAAGCAGTATCTCGGAAGGCGATTTGTAGCGCAGCAGACCCGGCACTTCGCCCGTATTTGCCACGTGCGGCTTGCCGATGGGAGAAGCCTCACCATAGGTGAAATATATTTGGAGGAGAGCATCGATTGATCAGACCTGCTGTCTGGCATGCGAAGACGCATATCCCTCGTATGTATCGATCTATGTAAAGTAACTTTTCGGTACTAGCTTATGTAGCGTACCTTTGTATTGATTTAGTAGTAATTTTCTTTAAGTTCTGACAATGACCATCCGTACATTCCACAGTACCATGGTGGAACACTCACCTACAAACACTTAAAAAATCAAAAAACACTTACTTTAATATCCTTCGACGAAACATCTCCAACACGAACATAATTAACTATAGAAAAGCCAATGCCCTTATCAAACGCGAAACAAAAATAGCTAAACGCAACTCACTAGAAATATTCACATCCGAAATTAATCCAAACTCTTCGACCTCCAAAATTTGAAGTAATCTTCGAAGATTCTGTGGACTTCGACCAAGAATCGGTATCCACTGCATCGCACAACCAAATTCACCCACTAAAACAACAAATAGCTTAGAGATAGCCAATGAACTATGTTTCTTTTGGTCCTCCGAATCAAGTGACGATAATTTCTCAGCAACCTTAATCCACCACAAAAATAACATACTACCCTTCCACCAGAATTACCAGCCTTTCTCTAGCGCATTAAAAATCGATTCTCCCATCACATCCCTTGAACTCAACATAGCCCTGTCAAAGCAAAAAGGATCGTGTCTCCTACCAAATGCTAAAGAACCTCCACCCAGCAGTAAAACTCAGACTACTTGATCATTTTAACAATATATTTAACAGCTTCATCCCACAACATTACAAACTTAGTAAAATTATACCAACTCACAAACCTAATACAGACAAAACATCCCTAAACTCTTATCGTCCTATATCCCTTAATTCATGCTTCGCTAAAACGCTAGACAAAATTTTGTTTGTTTCCTACAACAACTCGATCGATAGTCGTCAAACTGGGTTTCGAAAAGGGAAGTCAATATCAGACAATCTACTGGTTTTAGATGACCTGATATCCTCTTCCTTATCAATGAAGAATCACTTATTAGTGATCTCACTTGATTTTACAAAAGCGTTTGATAAAATTGGAGTCCATACTGTTGTCGACGAACTGCAGTCATGGAAAATCGGCCCTAAGATTATAAGCTACTGCATTAATTTCATGACCAACAGAAAAATCAAAGTCTATGCCAATAACCATTTTTCATTCACCCGCCCACAACACAACGGCATTTTCCAGGGTTCGCCACTCTCATTAATTCTGTTCCTCATCGCGTTTAACAAACTAAATCTAGTTATCCTCAATCACAAACAGTTCAACTTTTGCGTCTACGCCGACGATTATCACATATTTAAAAAGATAAACAAAGACACACAAATAAATATTGACCCCCTCCTATATGATATCCACTCTTGGTGTGAATACTCCGGCGCTGTCCTCTCACTCAACAAGTGCAAACATTTTCATTTTTGTAAAAAACAATCCTGCCAACTTCGAATATCCACTACACTTGCACCAATAGACAATACTAATACGTTAAAAATATTAGGAATAAAGTAGGATGGATTTGTATATTCTGGATATATTTTCATTTTTTAATATATGTGCTGGATCAAAATTTTTTTGTTGTGCAGGCGCTTATCGATATCGGAAGTCGTAGCTGCTGCTGCTGCCCCGGAATGTTATTTTATTATTATTTTCTTTGGTTGCAAACTGTTCTACTATGTGAATATTAATATAGTACACAAATTTGCAACCATTGTTTCTGTGCAGCGTTCTAGTGCCATATTATGTGAATATTAATACTAGCCATAGATCGTTGCACAGAAACAATATATATATATATACATATATTTTTTTTTTTAACAGTGTATAGTTCTCCCAAACCTCACATGAAGTTTTTTTTTCTGAGCATGCAGTTATCGAAAACTGTAAGCTGAAATGACAACGTTGCATATTAAAAGATTCTATTTTCAGGAGTAAATAAGTTTTTTTTATTGATATATGTATACATATATATATTGTTGATAGGTTATTATATATATATATATAGGTTATTATATGCGTATATAATTAATATCGTCTTTCAGAATAAGGAAAGAAATGAGTAGTTACGAGATAGAAACCTGCGTTAATACAGATGATGTTGACGACTTAAAGAAAGAAACAGATAAATTTTGTATTGAGCATGAGGATATTCTACCCGATTTTGAACTAAAGACCTTACGTAACATGAGGAAATTGATGACGGTAGGGGCGCATATATCAGACACCGATATGAAGATTTCGCGCAACATCAGAAAACTCTTCAAAGTAGGAGTTTATATTTTAATGCAACCCTATCAGGATTTGGGTGAGAGAATTGATAGACGTTATTAATTATATACACATATAATAAATAACGTATATATATATATATATAATAACCTATCAACAATACATAAATATGTACATATATCAATAAAAAAATACTTATTTACTCCTGAAAATAGAATAGTTTGCGATAACTGCATGCTCAGAAAAGAAAAAACACAACATCATGTGAGGTTTGTGAGAACTATGCAGTGCTAAAAAAAAAAAAAAAGATATTGTTTCTGTGCAACGATCTATGGTCAATAGATACGATCAATTTGATAGATACAACTCTGCGTAAACTACCGAAAGCCACCACTCCACAACTAGTCTACCAGCAAAAGCTTCTCGAATTCAAAAACAAATACCCGACCACCACATTCATCTACGCCGATGGTTTCAAAATTTCAGGCGCGACTTCCTTTAGTGTAGTATCCAACGACGTTAGCCAACAGCACTTACTACCATACTATAGCTCCATCTTCTCTGCCGAAATCATTGCTATCTACAATGCAGTCCTTTTAGCTCAACACTGACCAAACTCCTCAGTAATCTGTTCCTCCTCCAATAATTCCTTCTACCCAGTCACAATCAGACAAATTCTGTTAAAAACGTTAACAAAATAACCACTAACAAAAAAATATTATGATGAGTCACAAGAAATAAAAATTCTTTCTGGTTGCATTTTATCTAAGAATACGTTTATTAGAAATATCGAAGCTCTCTTAGTTTTTGCAAAGGAAACAATACCATGTATAATATAATAATAATATACATATGTTAATATTTAATTTGCTGCATATCCATATTATAATTTTAAGAGAAATGTTTTAGTTACCTTTCCGATGGTACCCTTTTTTAAATAAATAGTTTTCAAATAAATTAAAATTACTGAGTTCAAGACTCATAAATTCTTAGATATTTTTCGGAATTGAGTGTGTTTTGGTAAAATCCTATTGAAATTGCTGTCAACTAAATGGGTTACATTGGAACCTACACGGAGATTATGACATCATGTGGGTAATATCTTAATTACCCCTTTCAATTTCCGATTCCATTATAAACACACATTGTGGATCTTGGATGAATTCAGATGACATCGTCAAACTACTACATGAGTTCGCAATTAATTTGTCTCCCCAATATGAGAATGGCTCAAAGCTAAACTGTCATCATCTCATCCCTAATACACTTTAAACAAATGTGTTCAAATTCCAAAATGTTAAGAACAAGAACCAAGCATTAAGTTTTTAATGAATATATGTTTAACTTCTTGTCCTTATAGTAAGCTTACAGAAAGATTAAGCTTGAGAAATTGTATTGTATTTTTAAAAAGTCAATGCTGTGATTCATTCTGTAGGTCGGATGTCTTGATGTAAAGATTTAGTTTAACTTGATGTGATAATGATATGCACTAAAGCAGGTGTTTTGGACGGAGGTGGTCCATTTTGACAGGCCATGTGTGACTGGAAATCCGTTTGTTGTGGTCGCTGCAGCCACAAGTACCTTGTTGTTTGTTCCTAAGTTTTAGATACACACCAACTCTATAGGAAGCATGTCCATCGACCCCCCTCTTAACCCACCTGCCAGCACACAATCACACAAACAAGGGCACAGAAATGCCCCATAATCTTATCAAGTGTTTCAATGTGTGTTACCTGATTTCCTGAATTTGGCTTTTGTCTGTGACTTTGGTTGTTCTTACTCCGGTTACAATTTTCCAATTTTACAAAGGATTTCAATGCGAATTGTTTGCTGTAGAATATTATGTTGATTTTGAGATGTAATCATTGTTATTTATCATGAAAAGAATCATGACTTTTTATGAAGCAGACATACAATAAATGAAACTGGAAGCTTGACAATTTATATTTTAGAAATATCTTTTAGTGGATAAAAACCAAGAGCTATATAAAGATTGAAATATTATTTTTAAATCAAAATACGATGAATTTCTGCACATCTTCTAAAATAAAGTATTTGTAGAAAATGGTACCACGCAATATATTTATTTTATTTTGTAAGCAACAAGAAATAGTAATTTTTTAAATGGGGGCAAGAATTATGTACTGAACGTGGGAAGAGTATTTCTTTCTTTTCAAGTATAACTTACGACTTATAATTGTCCGGGGGGTAGGGGTACAAGTGAATCGCTTATTGGAAAGTTCCGTCATGTTGGGCTTGATTTGTGCTCCGTTCACAAATCAAGAGGGCTGGCAGTTTGTAATCTGGCTCACGTTTCGTGTAATTAAAACTTAAGGAAGACCCAGAGGTTCTGGAGTGGGTCTGGTTGGGTTGGATTGGATGGGGTTGGTCTGGGGGCACAATTGCAGCGTGGTGGCGGCTGACTGTGGCAGACAAATCAAAAAGTTACCCAAGATTTCCTCGTGGCTGCCACTTTTCTTTTTTTCTGTAATTTTTTAATTTTCCTTCGCCGTGGCTTAACCCGCACTGGAAAGTTTTCAGCCCAAGACATTGCCGCACATAAATCAGTCAGTACGGAGCCACCTGCTGGTGGTGGAAAAGCGCCAACTGACGGACAGGCGGACAAACGGACAAACGGACAACCGGACAGACGGACAGATGAGCCAGGGTAAAGTTGCTAGATTAATTTGAATAGTTCTTGGATTCAATTTGTTAACAACTCACGGACACGGACGCTCCCAATCTCCCGATAGCCGAAACACCATAGTTCACAGCACCAGGTACTTTCGCCAGATCAGGGTATCCATAGTGAA